TCGAAGGACGAAATTATGCCTAAGGCGACTCTCTCAACATAGCTTAATCAAACCTAACCTAACCCAACCTAACACAACTTGACCTAACGAAAGCTAACCTAAGCTTACCTAACCCAACCTAACGAAACCTAACCTAAGCTAACCTAACACAACCTGACCTAATGAAACCTGACCTGACCTAACCTAACACAACTTGACCTAATGAAACCTAACCTAAGCTAACCTAACCCAACCTAACCTAGCCCAAGGTAACCCAACCTGACCAAACCAAATCAAACCTAGCCTAACAACCTAACCTAACCTAACCTAACCTACCTGTCGCGATGCCGAACATTTTGACGCCGAATTTACCACAGGTAATTCTACAGATTACTGAAGACGAAACGGGGAAAATGATGCCAAACGTCGCAAAACCCATCGTCGCGACGCCAACAAATGATTCCAGAAGAGGTATAAACCCTTTGCATACCTACCTAACCTAACCTAACCTAGTCTAACCTAACTTAACAAAACCTAAACTAACTTAACCAGAAGACCATAATTGGCAACAAAATTACTAACTTTAATGTAATAGATACTGTAAAGAAGACCACTTGGAATAAATGAGTTCTGTCATAGTCTTGGAAGACACTTGCGAAAACATTTACAGCAAGTAAGCCACTTAAAATGAACATATTTTTGGAAGATGTCTTTCAAAAGAAACTGTTACTATCTTATTTCATATCTTAAGCATGAAGTAACTCAGAAAAAAATGAAATCTTCGTGCCATTTAATGATTATAATTATATCAAATTTTACTGCTTGTCTATGCATAAAATGTTAATACAGTAATGGTTAACTGATAGTTCAAAATATCTATTTTTTAGGAATTATATTAGATCAGTTTAACTTGTGTCCTTGCAGAAAATTGTCCTCAGATATGGAGGCTACCAGAGCAGCTCTGGACAGTGAGAGGAAGCTTCAGCTGTTGCAGATGCAAGCAATCAATGCCCTGTGGAAGAAGGTAACAGTTTATTTTTAGAATTGTTTACTTTTGAAGTTTTTAATTTATCTTTTCATGTTTTATTTTTATACTCTTAATTTTGAATATTTCTGTCAGTAAGTATGGAGTAATCATTCTCAAACTTTCACAAGTTATAACATGTCTTTGTTTTATCTTTGTTAACATCACCTCTTGATAAAAAAATGGTTATACATTTTGAAATGCTTTCTTTATTGAAGTTTCCTACATGTTGCCCACACTGTTCTGTGCCATATTATGTGAACCATTTACTGACTGTAACAAGAACAAGTGCTGAATATTTCCAATTTGAGAAACTTGCCACTGGCATTTTACATCAAAATTGGGTCTGAATGTTCTGAATTTGAATCGATGTTTTATAGTTATATCACGTGAGAATTACAAGTTATAATGTGTTTCACAGGTAGTAAGTTTGCAGCCATCCCTTCCACAGCCAGGCACCAGTAGCTCTAGTATGGATGCCAGTATCAGTGTGCAGCAACCTGATGCCGAAACTGTCCGAGAGCTAACACAAACTTGCACACGCCTTCATTCACAGGTACTGGCGTTGTCGTTTAAGAATGGCTTGAAAATATTGTATAATTTTTCCCCTACCATTAAGCGTGTATGACCTGTTATGAGAAACACTTGCAAAAAAGTATGTGATCCAAGTGATTAATTATTTAATTTTATGAGAAACTGGTATTAATATTTATTTGTAGTATAAATTTGTTTAGTATGACCTACCGTATCCACGTTATTGTGATTTCAGCATGTTAGCGTATCGTTGTTTGCTAAACAATAGTATGCAGTAGTAAATGTAAATGCTGTCTGAGCTGCATAGCATTTATCTGTTATTCAGTGTTGTGATGATTCTGAAAGATGTAGAAGAAAGCAGATGTGCCTCATTTTAAGTTACTATCTACCTGGAGAGACTAAGGAAAATCACCAAAACTTGTCAATATAATGAATCTTATAGCTGCATTTGTCCCGCGTAGTCTGAGGCATCGTGCTTCGGACTGGTGATACGGAATGCACGCCGAACAGATGACATGCAAGCATTTTTTAAGCTTCATAATGTTCTTCCCTCATGTTACTTTCTCACATGAGAATCTACACCTCTTTTGAGTAGAATAAAAATAAGGAAGAAGGTTGAAGATTTCTGTCTTCTGGGTTGTTGCGCTGGGAAGAAGGTTAATGTATAAATATGAAAACATACTTTTTGTAGATAAATAATGTCATCTGTTATGATATTTATTCATGAGCATACCCAATTCATTGTGCTGTGCCTACAGGTGGAGCAACTGCAGGACTCGATGCAGAGCGTGATGCAGTGTATGTCACTGTTTTGCCAGAAAGGTCAAGTTATTATTCCTCAGCTCTCAAATGAAACTGAAATAGATGGTGTTGCAACTGGTAGCACACAAACAGATATAATAGCAGTTCACACACCACAAATGGAATCTGGACCGGGCATCCCATTTCCTTACCAAAGGGCATCTCCATCGACCCGCCCATCATCCCTACCTATTTTGCAGTCTCATCCATCCACGGCTCCCCATAACCTTTGTTCTGCACTGGAATCTGATGCTTCACAAGAACTGAAACAGTTTGCTATGAGCCTGGTTGATGGAGTATTAAGGACAGTTGCGGAACAGGGAGGGGAAACAGAGACTAAAACTGACAAAAGGAATGGTACTCCATTAGGCGAAGGTGAAGTGAAATTTTCAGTGAAGGAAAATGAAGATAATGCTTGTGGTAGTAGAGAAATGACAGAAAATGGTTGCATCCAAAATATTGAAAATGACCGGGATGGTTGTGATGTTAATGAAGGTGTGGGAACTGGAAATTCTGCATCTGAAGAAAACATCAGAGAAAGTTGTGTAGATGCAGAAGATGACCACAAAGGTGGTGTGTCTCAGGATGTGAACAGCTCCTGCATGATAATATCCACGGAACCACCATCCACTCCAGGCAGTCCATTTGAACAACTTGACTCGCCAAACAACAACCAGCATCCCATCAAGGGGAATGTCATTGAATAGGAAATGAAATTAACCTTCATTTTTGTTATAGCTTATTGATGCCACTTGATAAGTACGGCAAGAATTTGTTGGCATGTTTCACTTACGCATTGCAATTTGCTGAAATTATATACGAGTTCCAACCAGAATGGAAATAAATTGTTGGCTTAGCTCTTCGGGACTCAGAACCCACTGTTTTGCACATATAGATACATAGTCATATAAAGATACTGTATATATATTTTCTTTATTTATTGTCACATCATTGTATGTATTTGCTTAGTTCTTGTCGCATCACTGTACCTAGATGTTTCCTTATTTCTCATCGCATCATGCTACCCAACTTCATTATGAAGGATCTTTCTTGAGCAATTAACAGTTACAAAACTGGTAACAGCGTTTTCCTAAATGTTCACTGCTGAATTCACAAAGATTGTCATTGAACCCTGTCTTTAACCAATTAAATCTAGCCCATACATTTACACCTATTTTTGTAAAATCCATTTTTATTGTAAGACCCATTTATGCCTAACTCTCCAAACTGGTCTGTTCCGTTCATGCTTTCTGGCCCAAGATTTTTATGCATTTCTCATTTCTCTGCTGTGTTGTTACATGCCCACCCCTATTGATCATAAGGAAAAGGTATTTGAATCCCACAGTGCTTGAACATGAAGGTGTTGTGCTGTGTTAGTAGTTTTATATCATACTTTACTGCCCAGTAATACACCTCAAGCTGGAGATGAGAAAAGGATAATATAATATTGAATATTTTATAAAGTCTTCATCCTCACTTGCTGTTTACTTAGGTCCGAAAGAGTTAGGAACACAGGCCATAACAAAAAGATACAAGAAAGTTCTCTTTCATGAAAGTTATAGTCTTTATAAGTATTTAATGTCATAATGTACATGCTTTTCAGCTACATATAAGAGATGGGTAGTAAAGCAACATATGAGAACCAAAATGAATAAGGATACCGAAATGGTGCTCTGTACTAATACTGTATTTTATTACAAAATTCATGCACTGTGTATTTTTTATGATTTTTCTCTCTAACCCC